CGTGGGGTATAGCACTACTTCTGGAACAGGTATGCTCTTCACCCAGTAAAGAAGATAAAACACATAGGGCAGAAATGAAGAGAATACGTGGCTATGGCTAGAAGACAGTATATGAATAGGCCAAGGGCAGTCTGCATGGGCAGAAAACATCCAGGGGAAGCACCTTGGATTTAGAACAAGATAGCCAAGCAAAAACATCTTTGGGGGGTGGGGAGAAGCCCCTTGGTATACATTGGAATATGTCAAGTGCAGTCCATCTGGGCAGAAAACATCCAGTAGAAGTGCCTTGCATAATATACATAGTGCCATAATGTGTGTATAATAGGCAGCATAATGACGACAGCCCTCTTCTCATTGAGTGAGTACATAAGGCTATGAGATTTTGTTATTGTACAAAACCCATCTGTGATGAAACCTCCATGGTCCACCACTCTAGCAAATGGGAACTGGAAATGGCAAGGATCCCTGTGCTCCACTAGAAGAAAGGGGGGAGAGATGTGCCAGTAGAACAACCTACTAGAGACAGTACAATGGGTGTCTGTGTTTCCCTATTTTGAAAAGCAGAAAGACCCAGATTGTAAGAATAACAGGGCAGTATGGATGGACAAATATCCCTATCTGCTTTACTCATGAAGTCCATGAGTTACAGTCCTCAGGATATATATAGATACACAATGAGAAAAGCATCCAGTGGTCTTACAGAAACACCCCATCTCCACGGTGAGTGTTATAAAGATATAGAGTAAATGCTAGTACAAAACTATTCAGCATACCTGACCAGGCAACAACCACCACCAGGTGAGATCCAGAAATGCAAAGGAAAACAACTGTTTCTGAAATGGTACAAAAAAAAAGGATGCATAAGTGAAACCAAAATGTCAACTTGGTGGAAACTTCTTCATCTGCCAAGTGAAAATTCAAATTCATAAGTCCAGTTGGACTTTTAAAAAAAATAATAGTGAAAGAACTACTAAATGAACAAGTAATTCCAACTAAAACTAGCAAAAAAACACAAAAATGAAGCAAAATTTGCTTGAAGAACAACTGAATACACACATCTGAACACTGTAGTGCCAATCAAGAAAGTGAGAATTGCGCTGCAATGGTAGAGGGAGCTACCTGAACTAGTATAGAGAGTGCAATGGGATTGGTGGAGAGTGGTCACATGCTCAACACATGTTGCTGCAATGATGCAAAAAATATAGGGGTATAAAAGACTGGTGCACTGTTCATAAGACTTACCGATGCCTAGAGAGCAAATGAAGGTTGAGATAGCTATTGGTGAGAGGAGGTAGTACTGTTTCGGAGGTAATATTTTTCCATATATATATATATATTTATACATTATCAAACTTATTAAATATGCCAAAAAATTAAAGAAATATACAGATTGGCTTGCTTAAAAATTCAGATCATTTAAAAAAAAATTATCTTGCCATACTACTAGTATAAGGTATTTGGTCTTTATAAAATATGTTATACACGTTCTGCTACCTTGACAATCTTACATCTCTACACTATAGTTTCATACTTTGTGAGCCACTACTAGTGTTGACACTGTCCATAGCTAAGGCTTCAAATACTTCAAAGTCTTCTTTCCTTACTCTGACAACATTGTTCTTTGATCCCATTCCATTGTCACAAATTGGCTTAATAAAATATAAAGCATAATTAATAATGAAACATTTAATGTCTTATAATACTAAAAAATCAAATATTGTAACAGAAAATGTTCAAGTTTATAATATCTAATCATAAGCATAAAATACTAAAGGTTTTTAATTTCCTCGTTAATTTTACTCATAACGAGAATTCAGCATAAATCTAATATATCGCAATTGTTTTTTTTCAAAAGTTTGCTGTGAAGACATACCTACGTCAAAAAACAAACAACAATGTTCCTACTCAGAAAAAAACATCTAAAACAAATATAGCACCAAAGTATGGGGTCCTAAAAACAAGATTGAAACCTGGCTCAGATTTCATCATGGCATAATCTCACAGACACAAGTCTAGTGTAGTGACTGAGCAATTAAAGTTTTCTCAGTGTTACCTATTAAAATAATTTTGTGTATTTGAATTAATGATATATATATATATATATATACACATAATTTAAGAACAACGAGGGATCTGTTGGTCCACCTAGGCTGTCCCCGCCACTAAAATAAACCTTAAAAATAATAATAAAATACTCAAAGACAGCCCTTATCATTCAAATATTTATCAAGCTTACCCTTAAACTCTCTTAAATAAGTTGCATCTACCACATCTGAAGGCAACCTATTCCAAAGGTCAACAACCCTGATAAACAACTTAAGCTGTCTTAGCTGAAGATGACTCTTATCCTACCCAAACTTATAAGTACCCTAGTCTTAACACTCTAACCATTAATTACGAAAAAAGGTGATACATCAACACTATTAATTCCCTTAAAAATCTTAAACACTTCAATCAGATCCCCTCTAACTCTTATTTTTTCAAAGAAAGCAAGTTCATAATTCAAAGACCCTAACATATTCTTGTATGACAACCTTTCCATCCCAGGTATCATCCTAGTAGCCCTCCTCTGAACCTTTTCCAGTAATGCAATGTCCTTTCTAAAGTAATGATTTGTTTGTTTGTTTTGAATTTTGTGCAAAGCTACATGAGGGCTATCTGCGCTAGCCATCCCTAATTTAGCAGTGAAAGACTAGAGGGAAGGCAGCTAGTCATCACCACCCACTGACAACTCTTTGGCTACTCTTTTTTACCTATGAATAGTGGGATTGACCATCACATTATAATGCCCACATGGCTGAAAGGGCGAGCATGTTTGGTGGGATGGGGATTTGAAACTGTGACCCTCAGATTGCAAATCGAGCACCCTAACCACCTGGCCCTGGCTAAAGTAGGGAGTCCAAGAGTAAATACAATACTCCAAATGTAGCCTAGCCAATGACTTATACAATGACATTATAATCTCTTTAGACTTGTATTCAATATTTCTGTAAATATAACCTAAAATCCTATTTGTCCTACCACTAGCAACGGCACACTGCTTGTATAGCTTAAGAGACTAATGAATCAAAACATGAAGATGATTTTCTCCCACAACACTGTTAAGGTTATTCCCATTCAAATTGTGACATCTTACATGCATTACCTTGCATTTATTATAATAATCTTCCATTTACTTGCCCAACTCCCCAAATCCTTTTGTAAAGCAGTAGCATCCTTCTTACAGCCAGCAACACCCAAAACTTTAATGTGATCAGCAAATTTAAATAATCTATTAACATTCCTTCATCTATATCATTAATGTAAATAAAAAAAAACAAAGGTCCTAACACTGAAACCAGAGGAATGCCACTCACGACAATAATCAAGTTTGGCTGAACTCAATTTATAACAACCCTCTGCTTTCTCACATCTATTCAGTTTTCTACTCAATGAGCCAACCTATCCCCCACAGCTACAAAGAAATGTTTTTCAAAAAGCCTTTCATGTTGCACCTTACCAAATGCTTTCTGAAAATCTCAATGTACCAAATCCATGCCTGTACCCTCATCTACATAAACAGTAACCTCTTCAAAGAATGTCAAAAGATTAGTAAGGCAAGATTTTCTCCTAGTGAAACCATGCTGACTATCCAACAAAATTTTAAGCTTTCCTAAATGATTTTGTAAAGCATCTTCAACAAAACTTTTCCCACCATTAATTTAAGACTAAAAGGCCTAACTTACTAGGAAATTTTTTATCACCTCCCTTGAAAATGGAGTAACATTAGCCAGCTTTCTATCTTCTGGCATCTGCCCACAATTCAAAAACTTAAAAAAAAAATAGTAGCAAGTGGCTCACATATTCAACCCTTAACCTCTTTAAAAATCCTTGGGAAATATTATATGGCTCAGGAGCTTTATCATAATTTAAACTTCCCAATTCTTTCTTAACAACCTCAGAATCAATATGATCATCTTGTTTCCCTCAACTGTTCAAGATAAGGAATATTGCTTAAATATTCATTAGCTATCTCATAATCATAAGATATGAGACTTTCTGTATCATCCCTGAAAGGTTCTATTCCCATCCTAACATTTTGTTTACCCTAAATATGTTAAAAGAAATCATTACTATTAATTTTTACGTTTTCAGCCAACCATTTTTCATGTTTTTATTTTCTAATTTCCCATTTGTCCAACTCTCTTTATCTTCTATAATTCTCTAAATCTCCCATCATAGCAGTCAATTTAAACTTCTTATGCTTCTAATGGTTTTTGTCTTTTATATTCTTTGTGAGCAAATTCATTCTTTTTACTTGCAGTCACCTTTTCTTTTCTGTAACGAACATGTCTATCCCGAATAGTTAAAAATTTACTTTTAAAAGTTTTCTATACTAGATTGGTATGTCCAGTTAATTCAGCTGTCCAGTTCGCAGCAGACAATTCTTGTCACATCCCTTCAAAAAATTTTTTTTTAATTTGGAACCAAAATTTCATTATTCCTCATTTCCATGTGCAGCAAAATATCAAACCTAACTGGATAATGATCATGTATACCCAGATGTTCCCCAATCTCCACTTCAACCATTTCTATATTAAAAGTTAACAATAAATCTAAACTATCATTGTTCCTTGTAGGTTCACTAGCCACTTGTTGAAGAACCACCTTGAACATGTTTGTAAAACCTATCTCCCTCATGATTTGACTTTAATATTTCCTAATCTATATACTTTAAATTAAAAACCCATACAATTACGACCTCACGAACAACAGTATCATCTCGTTGTAGTTTCTCATTAATTTCATCAGTTTCATCTGGTGGTCTGAAACAAATTCCAACTAAAAAAGCCTTCTCACCTTATAACCACTAAAACAACAAATAAATAGCTTCAATCTCATTACTATTAGCTTTAATATTTTCAAACTGAACATTTTAAATATAAAGCCACTCTTCCCCTCTCTTTAGTACTCTATCCCTATTAAACAATCTATAACCCTGAATTTCCAAGAAATTTCTGTCATCATAATTGTCTACATTTAACCAGGTTTCAGTGATTCCCATTACATCAAAATCTTCATTATATGTTTCTAATTTCTTGTAAAGCCTTCCAACAAAGTTTTTATCTTATTTGTTTTGCTTCAAGAAACACTGTATGCAGTTTCACTGTGCTTAAGATCGCTAGTATATAATAGAAATAACTATTTTACCTTACCATAAAATATAAACATGGTGACTTTTCTAAATTGTCAATTAAAATATTTCTTGTATTATATTTAATAAGCTTTTAAGATTCTACTCTATATCTTGAAATAACTTTACATACTTTACAACTATGTTTTATATTTATATTTTAACTTTGAATGTAAAATAAAAACTGAACATCATCTTAGAACTTTCTAGGCCTATCTTAACATCATGTACCCTCTAACTAACATACAAAATTAAAAATATGGGTTACAACAATTTATTGCAAACAGTTTTTTCAATTATTTCCAACTGTATAAGTTAACATGGCTTTTAGTTTAGTGGAGACTCGTGTATAGATTGCAACAAGGGGATAAAAGCTTAGCTCAGTAATATGCGATTATAAGAAACGATTTTTGTGAAGAACTACAACAATAACGTTTCTGTAAGTCATACAAAAACATGGTTTATCATTTTACTTCATTTGAATTAAGATATTTTAGCATAATAGGAAATGTTTGTGTTTAACAAGATCAGGTTGAGAGTTGCTGGCTTAATTAGAACATTTTGAATGTGACTGTGTTAACTTTCGTTTTAAACGACAAAGCTTTTGTTTGTTAGGCCATGTTTAAATTATGTCTTATTGGCTTTAGTAGACAAAGAAAACCATTGAAAACTAAAAATGTACATACAAATGAATATAAAACAGAAAGTCAGTGTGTTTTCATAAAGTATTTGGATCTGTGTTAGCTATCATGCTTATCGCATTATCTGGTACAAGTTGATATTACATTAATCCCAGTATTGTTAGAAATGTTGGAATGTCATTTGTAACACAGGCCTACAACATGTTATGACAGTGTTCAAGCTTGTTGAGCCATTAAAGGAGGAAATAAGCTAATTTGTGATTGGAATGTGGACTGGATGTTGAATTATTTTGAGGAGATAATTTTAAAAAACCTGTCCAAAAAATAATAATGTTACAATAAAATGTTTAGATTACTACCATATTACTTATCAACACTGAGATATAGGTAATTTACATAATTCTATGAACATGGAGGTTGAGGAAATGTGATTGGCTAAAATCTCTAAAATTATATTTATATTGGTGGCATTTTGTTCAAAACTATTTGACTTTCCATTTAGGGTGCTATGCTTGCCGTTTTATTCTAAAAATAAATTCAGGAAATTTACAAACACTAATGTTTTCATTCAGAGCCCACTCAAATCAATCGAATATCAAAAATTGCATTTTAAAATGTTTTTATGTTTAAAATTAAATAAATAAAAATTTCATTGAATACATGAAACACGTACAATAAAAAGTTTACGAGAGAATGACTACAAGTTTATTTTCCATAAATCTTTTTATACAACGGTATAATTTTGTCCTCAGACAATCGGTGCCAAAGGGTTAATATGAACAAACACTAAAAACTTCCTTACAGGTACCATATTGTTATAACGCATCAGACTATTTGCCACATCAGGCTATTTGCTTTGTCCATCAAGGGGAATTGAGGTAGCTTTACATATCTGAAGTCTTACCTCTGTCCCACTGGGGTGGGGTCATTCACACATATAAAAACATAGTTTTGATTGAAGATTCAAGGAAAGTAGTTTACAAGTATTTTCTATTAAAATATAACAAGAACTCCTATTTATCTACACAACAGTTTTTGGAAAACCTAGGATTAAACATTTTCCACCAGTTTCTTACCTCATTAGGATTATGATGCCATTGACCATCTACTAGAAATTTGTACTGATGTTCACCTTCTGCTAAATCCAGTATCAGGACACAGTCTCCGTGGCTTGTGGATAAGAAATGTCATTCAATTTCAAAATCAAGTATTTATTGAGCTCCAAGTTAACTACATGTATCTGGTCAATTTCAATGCTAGTTTTGGATTTATATTTTTTAAAGCCATGGGTAGATTAAAGCCATTAAATAACTACAAACTTAATATTCAATAACTCTCATTTAACAATACTTAATGCTTATCTATATAATGGATGTTAACCCCCAAAAATGCTTAAAACTGCAAAGAATATCTCAGAATATACTCCACAATGCCTCAAATGAGCAATAAATTTCCTAAATATACAATTGTGGCTTTAAAAACAATCTAAACAACAAAAATTTATGTAAATCATGCCTTCCATCTGGAGTTGCCACCAAAATTTTACACACATTATTATGTGCAAAAGTAGCTTAACACAGATTATAAACTATTGTAATTTTTGTTTATCATCATTTACATAAATTCAGAAGCTCATTTTTATTTAAAACTGAAATGGATGAACATCTTAAATGGATTCAGTTACATGTGAATTCAATATTTATTAAAATATCTTTTGTTGGTTTTCTAAAAACAACGACAGCAAAATTTACAATCTTTTTTTTTTTACAGCAGGTGCTCTCAAATCCATAGGCTCAAAAGAGGTCACAAAAAGAGTTGAAAAGATACAACAAATCTCTCCAATTTTTTCTTAAGTACTAACATGTAGTATGGTTTTGATACAGGGAAACATTTCTTTCCAGGTTGTTCCAGATTTTTGTGCAAAAATACAAAAAGGCTATCTGTGCATAATTATCTGTGATTCTGAAACAACATACTTAAGAAAAGACACCTAGAAAAACACATCTACTACCAATGCTTGGGCTGTTCTTGTCTCACCAAATAGTGAGAATTGACTATCACTCTTATGGTGCACTCACAGACCAAAAGTACAGAGCTCATTTTTGAGGCCACAACACACAAACCATGAATCCTCAGATTCACTGACTATGTCACACCAGCCTTTCATTTTAGTGTATTACATGTCTTGTGATTGAGTATTTTAAAGTTATGGAATAATGAAAAAATAAACTGTATGTATAGTACTCAGTAATTATTCTGGCTTTTTTTTAGTTATTCTTTGTTGATTTTTAGTTACTTGGCAAAATGGGGTCTTAGTTGTTAACCCTCACAAAAAGGGATTCTAGAATATATTTCAGAACCCAATTTTAGTTAAACATGGCTTTATCTTTGATTTTCTAATGACGCAACCACTTACAATCATCCTTTTTTCCTTGTTAATGAAACTGAACTTCTATTATTAATTATTAACTGACATAGCTATTTCCAACAAATATCCCTTTTAAAGTCATTATAAATTTAAAACACAGACAACTAGCTTATTCCAACATCTATTTAGACAGCTACTTTGTATAACATAAATTTTATTATTTACCTATGGATCATCTTTATGGGTTCCCAGTTGCTAAAGGTTCCACTCAGGTAAACTTCCTTCCCTCCTAATTCCCATTTGAAAACAGTCGGCAATGTTGTCTCACTCTGGTTGACACCAATTGGTAAAGTGTTGGTACTTGTACTTAAATCCACTTCCTGTGATATTTAAATAGGTAATACAGTATTACATCACTAACTGTATAACTGTCTTTCACATATTATTTATGTGAAAGTACATTTTCAAAAAAATAAATAACTATTCCAGCCTTGAGTTTGTGTGTATATTTTGTACTTATGGCAAAGCTACTAGGGCTATCTTCTGATGTCTTTAGATTTGAGCTACTGACCAGATAGAAGGCAACCAGTCAGAAGCAGCCACTATCCATGCTAAGGGATTGACTGTCATTCTTATAATGCAGCCACAGATTAAAGCGTGAGGACTATTTTATGATATCACATGGAATTGAATCTGGCTTACAAACTCTAATATTCAGAGTTGAGTAATTAGTTGAATTTCTTATTCAATTAATCATTGGTCTCATTAAATGATTACATTCAACTAATTGATTATTCTCATGAGACAAGACACTTGAAATAATAGTAAATAGTAATAATCAGAAACACTAATTTCAATTAGTTGATTATTTTGTTGAGTCATGACACAAATCAATTAAGCTGAACAATAATGAATTAACCGAAAATAATAATGATAAATCATAATGTCAATATTTCAATTACTTGGATATTTGGATTTAGTAAAAACACTAATTTTAATTAATAGATAATTTTCATGACAATCAATTTAATTGTAATTTCAGTTGATTGTTTAGTTTACATGATGTTAATTGATGTAATCAATTTTATTAATTAACTGTCCAATTCTATTTACCACAGGACTAACCAACATCTCCAATGTGTTAATGGCCACCAAAAATAACATCCATCTGAAATATCCACAATTTCACCGACTACGTACAAAGAAAAATTATCACGGATAATCTATTTAATTCAAAACATAATATCTGTTTCTCCTTATAACCACAAATGTTTTATTTTAAATATTATTTTTAAACTGTGACAGTGTACCGAATAAGAAAAAGCAAAATGTAAGACTTTTGATTTTATAGCTTTTATTACGAAAGCATAAATTGTAAAACTTCATAATCACAAAATGAAAAACTCTGAATAAAATTATATGTTTATATATAAATACTAACTAAGAATAATGACTCTACATTAATATGTATATGCTTATTATAAGTAATATGCATAAATGTAATAAAATCAAAATCTAAAACACTGTTTTACTTTGAAATATCTATATCCTTGCTAGTTCATTATATTAAAAAAATGTAGAAAAATTGTAATATATGTATAAGGAGTGGGGGAGGCATTGTTTCAACAATTCAGCCACAAATGGACCTTGCCTTATCCCAAGTCAATTATTCACATTAAATTGGTGAGTAAACCGAAACTGTTTGACTTTTATTTTTATATGGTGTGTAGGTGGGTGCAACAAGCTGCATGTTTAGAAAGAGTGACATCATGAAAAAAAGTCTGTGCACCACTAACCTATATTTTTCTTTTGTGAAAATTCAATAAGGATTACTAAAATTCAATGATGCTTACTCTGTACACAATTTCAGCATCATTCTAAACCTCAACAATATATAACTAAATACACAAATATACACAGACAAAAATTAAAAAAATGTTTGAGTATTAACTGGATTTTGTTAAACCAACACTTCCTTAATTATACCCTTATATATTTTGGTTTTCATTTATACAATATACAATTACTTGTACACGTGATCCAGTATTTTGTTTTGTTTTTTACTTATGGTTGTTGAAAGGTTTAGGTGGTCAAGGTCTTTCAACTCTTGCAGCAGGAAGTGTAATTTTATAAATCTTTCCACAACCTACACAGCCATACTAGTAAAAAGACACATACAAAATCTTGATATACTAAAACTACAACATAAAATGTAATTTGCAGAAAAATACGTGTCAAACATTCATAAATAAAAACACCCATAAGCTGTTTTCAGACAATGACTTATTTTTGTAATGATTCTAAAGAAGAAAGATGTATCCTTGAAATCACTAGAGTTAAATATATTTGAAAGAAATATAATTTCAAAGTGTTTTAAATTACCTTAGGAGAACCAGGAAAATCCTCAACATCATCTACTGATGGCTGATATATTATCTTGTTTTTCTTTCCAGTTTCATAGTTCTTTTCATCTCTGCTAGGGGATGTTGGTGCACACTCTGTATCAGAAGAATAAGCTCTGTCTCGTTTTCCAGAACCCGTATTACCCATCTTTTTTTAAGTGGTTTCTGGATTGATTAAAACTGCTTGGATTTTCCTAAGCTCAGCTGCATTTTGTGAAACTCTGAAAAGTAAAAAATAACTTAAATTTTAAATTATTCCAATACATTATTTCATGTTGATGAGTATTGAATAATCTCGCTAAATATAAAAAAGGACTTTACATGTGTCACAAAAATATATTAAAATTTAACGTTAACACAAACTTAATACACAAGTTTGTCTAGAATTTTTTAGTCAATGAACTTTGATATTTTTTCAAATTTGCATTTTTTTTTGTGAATATTAGGGCTACAGCAAGTTTATTGGACATTCCTTAATGTTTGGTGTTAGGGTTGATTAGTCTTTTAAGCCATCCAAGCAAGTGCTGTTGTGTTAGAACAAACAGGATTTTAGGCTGTATCTATATAAATATTGAAATTTGAATACAAGTCTAAAGGTTAGACCTCATTTGGGTATTATCTCTTGTCTTAGGCTTCTTACCTTATGAAGGGCATTGAATTGTTTTAAAATTTTCAAACTCAAAGGAGGGCTAGTACTAATATTATACCCAAGATAGAAAGGTTGTCACAGGAGGGCAGGTTAAAATCTCTGAAATTATTTTCTCTTCAAGAAAGAAGATACATGAGGGATCTTATTCTTACTAAAGTTACTGAGAATGTCAGTGAGATGTTAAGATTGTTATTATATATACTTAAACTGTAACTTAAAGTAAACCTAATGTTAAAGAGAGAAAGTAATTCAGTATAAGAGCCAAATAAATACAATTGTAAAGTAAAATATTAGATTTTCGTAAAAAAATAAATTGAGTATTCCTCTTAAAACACAGCTATATAGTATACTAGTTTTTACTACCATTTCCAAACAACTGACACTACGGTCACATACATAGACAACTGATACTGAGATCAATCGGTCACTTTCAGAGTTAGTTATTACTTACCCAGTAGAGGCCGCCACGTAATAAGAGGGAAAAAAATGTCCCGAAAATGTACTTTAATCATAATATTTGTAAAATAAACATTGATTGAAAATTAAAGCAGTGATACGTAGCACACTGTAAAATAATTTAATTCTGGAAGATTCAAATAAATAGTCGTTAAAAATAAACACCAGTTCGTGTGGGGTGGTAACCAATACTATAATAATCAACTGGCAAACAACTGTATAGCTGAAGAAGAAAATGCCAATGTTCTGTCGAAACATATATAGTATTGTTACGTCTCTGTTCGTTTGATAATTT